TAGAAACTTTGCTGTGGCCTCTGTCGTGTCACTTTTCTGTTTTAGGAAGTAAACTGACACTGCCCCTGAAAAATCATCGGTAAACACTATAGCGTATTTATGACCACTTTGGCCACTTGGTTCAATAGGGCCGGCTAGGTCAGTGTGCACCAACTGTAATGGTTCACTCGCTTTTGGGTCACTTTGTCTGTTTCTGTTGTTAGTGAATTTCCCTTCTGTGCACACATTACAATCTAGCATCCCCCTGCCTGTGATTTTCATGCCATCTACAACATCAGGTAGTTTTAACACATCGCTAACATTACAATGTCCTAAAATTTCGTGCCATGTTTTTACATCACAAGCCAGATTAACAGTATCACAGGACATTATGTCATTGAGTGATGTTTCAATGTTTACCGTTTTCAAATAGTAGAGTCTGTTGTATTCTTCGATGGGGAAGACTGTCCCATCTTTGTTCACTAGTTCGTTCTGTCCCTTCTTGAAGATCACCTGTGCTCCATAGTTTGTAGCTGCCTTCACTGAAAATATGCTCTGAGGGTAGGATGGGATGAACAGAGCATCTCTCAGTGTGATGGTAGTACAGTGTCCTTGTGTGTCTCGTAGAGAGACGTTCGCGTCTCCCCTCTTGAGTGCGACGTTGTTTGTCCTGGATCCATCAGCGAGCTCCATGTAGTGTTCCCCAGGATCAAAGGTCTCGTCGAACTTTATGAACTTATTCTTCTCCGTAATGATGTGTGAAGTCGCACCACAGTCCACCATTAGTCCTTCTCTCATTATGTCAGTAGTCAGAGGTCTTTGACTGACTTTAAATACAAAAGTCTGCTCTTCTTTCTTGCCCTCTAGTTTTACTACAGTTAGTTTTGCGTCATCTCTGTACTTGGTTTTTCTTCTACATGTCTCATCACTGTGTGTCGAGCTTCTATGGTAGTTACACCACTTAGGTGTTCCCTTTTGGCGACAATCTTTTACAAAATGTCCTTTGTTTCCACATCCATGACAGGTGATTGATGTTAAATCAACCTTCATCACATTATCCACTTTTACTTTGTTGCCAAATTTTTCTGTTTCCTCGTAACTTCGTAGGTTGCTTTTGAAATGTGTGAATGTTAAATCTTCACTGCTTTGAGTTGTGTGGATAGCAAATGGCTTGTAAGTTTCAGGAAGCCCCTTCAAGATCATGGCGATAATAAGTCCATCACTGATGACTTCTTTTGCATTTCTTAGAGAGGTCACTGCTTTTTCAGCTCAGATAATATAATCTGTCACTGTCTCATCTGGTTTCTTCTGTAAAGACGTCAGCTCTGTGTACAGTGCGATGATTCTGGGCTTGCCTTTACTATCGTAGTGGTCACGTAGTATTTTTAAAGCTTTTCTTCCGTCGTCAGCCGCATCTCTCATTACCAGTGACAGACTTTTGTAATCGAGAAACTGTATCAGTTCAGCGTAGCATTCAGCATTCTTCTCTGCATCTGGGTTAGTGACTGATAATATAGTGTCCTTTAGGCCAATGATCCGCAAGTGGCCGAGAAACTTCGCCTCCCAAAGTTCGTAACTGTTTTCGTCTCCGTTGAACACTAACCTCTGCCATCTTCCTCCTGTTGTGTCACGCCTGGGCCCATAACCTGTTGAGCTTGAAGAGTTTTCTTCTTCTTCGGCCATGTTCTCTTAATAATACACTCACTTGGTTGATTACTTTGCCCGTTTCTTTTATTGTTAACAACACAGGAAGGGAAAGAGATACATCATTGCTGCAGTTCGCGCCAACTGAACACACACACAGAACAGGAAGAGGAAATGAAAAAACAATCACCAAAGTAAAATCTCTTTCAAAATAAAATGACAATCAGAAAACGACAATCAGAAAAACGTCTCTCCCAACATAAAATAAATCAATATATTTACTCATGAGAACACAAATCTAACACCCCCCCCCCTCTTGTTCTCATGCTATCAACCCATAGCATCTTATGCATTTCCAAAGAACCATTTTTTAAACTTTCTGAGTCTCACTCTTGTGACTGGTTTTGTTAGTATGTCTGCAGTCATTTCTTCTGATGGACAGTATTCAATGCAGATTTTCCCTTCATTTACCGCCTCACGAATGAAGTGATATTTCACATCAATGTGTTTGGACCTCTGTCTCTTCACAGGGTTTTTACTCAAAGCAATGGCCCCTTGGTTGTCCCCAAACAGTTTCGTGCATGTGTATCTTTTCTTGTCCATGCCATTTAACAGTTGGGTTAAATACATGCTCTCCTGAGTAGTGGTTGCAAGACCAATGTATTCAGCTTCACATGTTGAGAGTGCCACTGTAGGCTGTTTCTTTGTTTTCCAAAATATTACTGGTCCCTCTTTAGTAAGTGCAAAACAGTAGCCTGTTGTACTGCGTCTGTCTTTTACAGAGGATGCCCAGTCAGAGTCACTGTAAGCAATTAGATCTAGATCCTCACTGCTTTTCTTAAAGATCAGTTCAAAGTCATTTGTACCTTTCAGGTACCTGAAGACTTGTTTTGCCGTTACTAGGTCCTCTCTCATAGGTTGAGCTAGTGTTTGAGATGGTCTGCTAACAACCCAGCTTATATCTGGTCTCGTGCACGTCATGGCATATATCAAGCTGCCCACTATTTCTCTGTACTCTCTTGAGTTAACAGTCTCATTTCCATCATTTTCTCCACACGTGGTAGTATCCGTTTTTAGTTCACACGGTGTGGATCTGGGTTTGCATTCAGATGTCATGTTTGCTGTTGGTGCAAATGTATCTTGGTAGTCTATCCCTTGTGTCTGGTTGTAACCTTTTGCCACAAACCTGGTTTTGAATATTTGTCCTTGTTCATTTTCTTTGAGGGCGTAGACCCATTTTCCTCCAATGGTATTTCTACCGGTAGGTAAAGTAGTCATTTCGAATGTGTCATTCTCTTTCAGAGGGTTGATTTCTTCTGTCATTGCCTGTTTCCTCCTTGGTGCTTCTGGTGATTTCAGCGCCTCTTTATAGGTTTGGGGGATTCCACAGGTTGCTCTGTAACAGTAATCAACACTCACAGAGGTTACATTTGTTAAATCTTTGCAGTTAGATGTGTAATCCTCTAGATATTTGGGAGGTTTCCTTTCTCTGTTAGGATAGCGCTCAGTTTGTTTTTGCTCATCATCCTCATGTCTTTCTATGTCAGGGTTTGGTTCGTTTGTGGTGGTTTCCTCATCTCTAGGGGGTCTGTTCTCTGTTGCATTTTCGTTTTGTTGTCCTGTACTTTCTTTTGAGGGTACTACATACTCATAAGTCTGAATTTCTGAGTCATATTCATCAGTCTGTGTTTGTTGTTCAACAGTGTTCTTCTTGATAAATCTCACAAGCCTGTGTTTTGACACTTTTCCTGTGCGAGGGTTATAGACCAGGTATGCTGGGCTATTTTTACTATAACCCACAAATATTCCTTTTTCACATCTGGGATCAAGTTTCTTGTGGTTATGTGTGTACGCATAACAGTCTGATCCAAATATCCACAGTTTTGAGAGATCTGGTCTTTTCCCTGTTAACATTTGATATGGTGTACTTTTAGTCCTGTTACTGTAGCATCTGTTGCGGGTGTGAGCTGCATTTTGAATGGCGTAAGGCCATAATTCTTTTGGCAGCTCTTTTTCTAGTAAAAGACACCTCCCCATTTCAAAGAGAGTTCTCCATTGCCTCTCAGCTGTGCCATTCTGATGAGGAGAATATGGTGCAGATGTTTCATGCTTTATGCCTTTTTCCCTTAAAAGAGACTGAAAGGAACTGCTTGTGAACTCTGTGCCATTATCCGATCTAATGCACTTAACACTGCCGTATGGTGCACAGTCGGCTAGAAACTTTGCTGTGGCCTCTGTCGTGTCACTTTTCTGTTTTAGGAAGTAAACTGACACTGCCCCTGAAAAATCATCGGTAAA